CTGACCGCAAACACAGGCCACCCAAACGTGGCCTCAATCGACAGGAGCAGCCAAGAGGCCCACAGACTAGTGAGCAATAACGAACGGTGGCGTGTCAGCCACTAAGGTAGAGGTGGCTCAATTAGCTCAGTTTCACCATCTACTAGCTTTTGCGCTTGGGCAAGCGATTTAACCTTTCTGAGCCTCCATTTTCCTCTGTCAAAGGGGAATACTAAAGGCACTTACCGGGCAGACTTGAGGGAAGGGTTGGATGAGTCAGAGGGTGTAAAGTGGTCCGCCCGGGGCCAGGCACACAGAGAGCGCCAAGCAGAGGCAGGTGCCTGTCATCAGCACGTGGTGCAGCCTGCCCCCAGCCTTGCACCACTCCCTGCCCTCCGAGCCCCACCTGGGCCCCCAGCACTCACCTGAGGCGTAGCCGATCATGAAGAGCAGGTAGACGAGCAGGAAGCGGAAAAGGTCTTTGAAGAGGATCTGAAGACCCCAGTGGGATTGGGGAGGTCAAAGTGTGACACACCGATTCGAATTCTCCCCACTCCTGCACCCAAAACGTTCTCTCTACCTCGACCCTGGTCCCCCTACCTCCCCAACACCCAGACCTGCCTGCTGTCCCACAGGGCTTCCAACCCTCAGGTCCACGGGCACCGTCTGCACAGCTGAGCTGTACGTGGGGTGTACCTGGCTCCCTGTGGGGACACCCAGGTCCAGAGGATCCCCCCCGTCCGAACCTTCTGGATCATGATGCTGTAGGTGCCCGTCAGCTTCAGCCCGCGGGTGAAGTAGAGGGCATTCATCCAGCCCAGGACCAGGGCAAAGACCATGACCGCCAGGTAGGCCTCAATCCCAGCCAGGTAGAGGGCCGCCGCCACAATCACCAGCACAGAGTAGATGAAGCTACAGGACAGCCAAGACCATGAGGTGGGGCCGGAGGGGAGGGGGCATGCCCCCAAGTCCTCCTGCAACCTGGATGCCCTTCCAAGCCCCCAAGAGAGAAACAAAGAGGATTAGCTGGGTTCTCTAGATAGCTGTTAGCCTGGATGCTCACTTAACTGGCCATTAATAGTGTATGTAAGGGTCCTGGGGCCATATATGATCGCAGGGTGCCGCCCTTCGGAAGTACAAGAGAGAGAGAGGCAGGGATGTTCAGTAGAGAATTTTTACTTCTGTGACTTCCACCCTAAACTACTGCCATCAAATTGATTTAGACTCATAGCAACCCTATCGATCGGGTTCCTGAGGCTTTGAAAATCTTTACAAGACCAGGCAGTGCCATCTTTATCCCTCCCAGAGAGGTTGGTAGGTTCGAACCACCGTTCTTGCAATTAGGTGTCCAAATTCTCAGGGAAATAGGCAAGTTGCTTTGCACACATAGCTACTGCCTTAGCCTGTGCCCTGGGCAGGCATCACTAATCAACCACGTTAAATGCAGACAGAGCCTCAAGACACAAAAAGGCACTGCTGGCAGACATAAGCGATCCATCGCCAGCATAAGAGATTAAACTTAGTTCTATGGACAGTGCAATGTGGTTAACTCTCTGGCAGCCAGAATTTTGCTTCAACCAGAAAAGCATGATGCCTGGCCTTGGCCATGTCCAGATCTTGAGTTACAGCTGCCCAGGCTGGGTGAATTCACTCCTGGTAGGGTCATCTCCTGCTCCAAGCTGGATCACCCACCACCCCGAGCCCATCTCAAAGCCACTGTTTCCCGGCGACGCCTACTCACTAGAGCAACTGGAAGGAGCCATCGATGAAGAGAGAGTTCACGCCAGGGCATTTCTTCATGAACAAGTCTTTGATCTGGGGAAGGGAGGAGGCCAGGGAGTCGGCAGCAGGCTGGGGGCGGGCAGGAGGGAAGGGCTAGGAGGGGGCGTGCCCCGTGGGGTACAGAGACCAACTGGGAAGGGAGGAGGGCAGGAGAACACAGTTCCAGCAGGCGGTGGATGGACAGAAGGAGGAAAGGGTAAGCAAGAAGAGGCGCCGATGCCACCGAGTCCATTTCGGGTGCGTCAGAGCAGACCTGAGCTCCACAGAGCTCTCG